CGCATAACTTTGCCAAAGCTTATTGTGCAATATGTATATATGTATATACACATATATTGTATATACATATATATATAAATAGTACATAAAGGATATTTGTGTTGCTGTTATTTGCTGCTGCTGCTGGTTGCAGGGAAAATGCCAATAAAAGTCAATTACATGCTTGCAATTTGCTAATGTAAATTAATTAGCAGCTGGTAACCCCAGAGTCGGTTGCTGCGGTGACTAGTTCATTAAGCGTCAAAAGTTTGTTTTTTTCGCATTTATATTTATTTTGTTTGGGATTTCTTTTTTTTTTCGCATGCTGGCAAAAGTTGCAGCTGTTCGAAAAAATAAAAGTTGTACATTGAATTTAGTTTTGTGGACAGGAAAAAAAAAACGAGAAGAAGCGGGAAAAACAATTCATTAGCGCGGGTCAAAGGTACAAATGTATACGACACGTGGGCCCGAATGGAATGCAAATAATAAACAGGCCTTTGTGCTTGAAAGGGTTAAAGAGTTGAGGAACTTGATTGTTGTTCTTACACTTGTTATTATTATTATTGTTGTTGTAGTTATTGTTATTGTTGTTGGCCCGTTTCGAGTGACACTTGCGCAATTTCGACAGGTGCTAAGAAAGCACAAGACAACACTTTACACAAAAGCACTGAAAGAAAACAAAGACAACAGCAGCAGCAGCAGCAGCAGCAATGGCAGCGGAAAAGCCGAAAAAACATCAACGAAAATCCTGCCTGCCGAGGCAGTTGCGAAAGAAAAGCGTAAAAGCGGAAAAGGGAAAAAGTTCGTTGAACAACAATTACAATGAGAGCTTGTGGCTTGCCCAAGCGGACATTGTTCCAGCTGTCGCATTGTTCCTCCAGCAGGAGCAGCAGCAGCAGCAGCAGCAGCAAAAAGAATACAATAACAACAATAATAAGAATGACGATGATAATAATAATAATAATAGTAACAAGCGTGTCGCACAATGACAGATTTGTCAAGCGCTTTTTCTTAACGCCGCTCAGACGCAACACGTGCGGCTATAAATCGCAACGGAAATAGTTGCTGTTACAGCGGCAACATCTACCAACARCAGCAGCAGCAGCAACAGCAACAACTGACAGCAATACAAATTTTTTGCAAATTAGTTGCACTCTAGTATTATTTGGTGCATAACAACAACAAATACAGCAACAACGAGATTAAGGGCAACAACAAAATGTCGCGAGTCGCAGCTGCATGACAAATTAGCAACATAATAAAGTGCTTCACTCTCGGGCATTATAAGAAAAATATGCAGGATTTATTTTTGCGCAATTTCTGTTAACATAAAAGATGAGGCAAAAGAAGAGAGACTCGACTCTTAGATACCCTACAAATAAATCTAATAAAAATAAATAATTTCTTA